GGGGGGGGGGGGGGTGCACGCAAGGCAGAACAAGGCAACGCGACACACGAGAGAGAGAGAGGGAGAGAGAGTCCACCAGAGGAGAAGAGAGAGGAGAAGAGGGGAAGGGGAAGGTCCAATAGGCCTACCAACTGAGCCTATACTACCACTGTCAGTCACAACTGAGCTATCAAAACAGCAAAAAGAGTATGTGTGAAACGACCAGCCACACCACACCATACCATACACACAAAACACCCCTCCGCGCGGTGCCCGCACGACCATCCAATCCACCCCATCCGGCCCGGCCACATCATTTTGTCTCACTCAGCTGCTGGCCCCGGCCAGCAGCGGCACTCCTTTCTGGTTGTCGATAGAGGGGCTGGTGGCAGCCAGAGGGCTGCCCCCGCCACCCGCATCGCCCCCTCGCACATTGTCGACCACACTGCTGTTGTTGTTGTCGGGCGATGGGGCGTCCGTGGTGTTGAGAGAGGGCAAAGTGGTGGACAGGGGCGTGTTGAGGGACGAGTGGAAAGCGCCATAGAGAAAATAGAAGCCACACCCAATCAGGAGGTATGTGGCGAGGTCCAGGAGCATCGGCAGCCGCATGGTGGCGATGAGGTAGACGTCGATGACGATGCCCACAAGGGGCACCACGGGAACCCCGGGACACTCGAAGCACTCCTGCATGCTGAAACTCCGCCGCATTCGCGCTGCCTTGGTGGTCAACCCAGCTCCCCCAACTCCAACAGCAGTAGCAGCAGCAGGAGCAGCAGCAGCGCGGCCAGGAGATACATCGCTCCTCCCCCCACCAGGAGCGCCACTCCTATGTGACACCGAGGGCAACTCGTTGGCCCCCCGCCACTTGAGAAACCGCCTCTCGACGACCACAAAGGCCGCCACCACCAGCAGCAACAACACCCATATGACGACCGTCACAGCAAGAGGCCATTGATAAGCCAGCGAATACCCCGCCAGCAGGGCCAGCAGGAAGAAAGACCCTATGAGGGAGGCCACGAAAGGCGGCGATGGCAGAGATGGGGGAGGGGGGATGGTTATGGTGGTGGTGAGGCTGGTGGTGAGGTTGAGGTTGGTGAACGACGCCTCCGTCACTTGCTGCTCGGTGGCTGTGTCTGCCTCTTCGGGGATGGGTGGGAGGATGGGCGGCTGGGAGGGGATGTACCGCACGAGCAGGATGCCCGCACACACCACGGCGTACGACAGCAGGGTACCCGCCGAGATGAGGTTGATCTGCGGGCAGACCAGCGACACAGAGAGACACATTAAATCACATCAGATCAGATCATGAGATGGGTGGCGTGCAGCCCCGTGTGTTTGCCGATGCGCCTGGCTGAAAGACCTGACCAGGAAGGTGAAGTTGATGCACGCCGATAAGAGGATCACCACAGCTCCCGTTATCCAAATCCCCTATGAAGCAATATCAATCTCACACCATATCGATTAACACACACACACCTCTCTCATAATGCACACCTACCCACCTTAGCGGGCAGCAGCGTCCGCGGATTGACATCGGCGAAGACCCGCAACCACAGGCCGTCCAGCGCCATACGGTAGAAGATCCGCGGCTGGCCCATCAGGCAGGTGAGCGTGGTGCTGACAGGCGTCAAGAAGAAACAAAGGAAGGCCATACCAGGCAAGTGGGAAAGGCCATGACCGAGGGGTTCGAGGGTTTACCCTCCCACCCCACCGACCAGAAGCTTGTCGTGACGGCACCCAGCGACACCAGGAAATACAGCCAGTGCGCATGGTGGTACTCGAATGCCTGGACAGACAGAAAGAAACAAGCGACGAGGCAATCGAGAAGGAAGATGGCTGTCTGGTTGTGTGTCTGTGTGTCCTCTCACCATGGCTAGTGCGGCGCTTTCACTCATCTCAGCCAGGGGCACCATGCCGCTCAGCACGAGCCCGCACAGGGCGTACATCACTGTCACACTGGCCAATGTGCCCAGGAGAGCTGCACACACACACACACACACACACACATACACACGAGTGGCGCATGTGCCCCATCCATCCACCGCCCCATCCATCCACCCTGCTCACCTCTCGGAATATCCCTTTGTGGCTTCTGCACCTCCTCAGCAAGGCATGAAACAGCGTCAAAGCCAATAAAACAAAAGACAGCCAGGCTCCCTCCCTGCACCACCCCATTGACGCCAAAGGGCGCAAACGGGACGAAGTTTTTGGGATCGAAGAAGAAGCTCCCCGCCACCACGAAGAGGCCGATGAGGCCGACGTTGACGATAGTGGCAACCTTGGTGAAGGTGACTGACTCCTCTGCCCCCCACGCACATATCAATGTGCAGATGAGGTTGGTGAGCGGGGCGATCAGGGAGAAGGAGAAGAAGTAGCCAGCGGGGCCAGGGGGGGTGTAGTCGGTCAGCAAGGGGGGCAGGGGCAACCCACAGGCGTGGAAGAAGGCCTCGATGTAGGCTGACACGCCCCTGGGGTGGGGCAGGCAGGGGAGCAAGAAAGATGTGTCAGTGTCTTCATCTGTAGGTGCTGTGCTTGGTTGTTGGTGTGGTGTACCTTACCTGGAGGTCACTGCTGCCGACACTCCATACTCGAGGAATAAGATCCAGCCCATGATGAAGGCGCTGCACTCGCCAAGCGTGTTGTACGCATAGCTGTACGCACTCCCTGCCACACACACACACACACACACACACACGTTTTATTATATAGCTATACAGGCCGTCTGCCCATCCGTCCATCCATCCATCCCATTCGCCCTACCTGCTGCGGGTATCCTGGAGGCGAATTCACAGTAGCAAAGAGCGTTCATGAGGCAGGCCACACCTGAAGACAGTGAGGCCAGACAAAGTAGTGATGATGAGGTGAGGTTGTGCAGATGAGGTGAGGCTCTATCACACCGCCGATGATGAACGATATAAACAACGCAGGCCCTGCACATGGACAGACACACACACACACACGCACACACAAATCGCGCCCAGGCAGCTAGCAACAGGCGAGCCGCGAGAGGATAAGGGTGTGTTGAGTGACCTGCATGCTGTTTGCCTGCCGTGCCTGCTGTAAGGTAGATCCCCGCACCCACTGTACACGAGACCTGAACACAAGACAACGCAAGACGGACCCAGATATCATTGATTCGTCGCCTCTGCGTTCCACGGTCTGCGCGCACCCCATATGCCACCAGATCTCTGGGCGACAGGCATCGACGCAGACCCAAACTCTCTTCTGCGGACACAGCAACATGACACACGCGCGATAAAGACGCACGGCGAGTTTCGTTTCGTCCAAGGTAACTGACCTGTGTCGAGCGCGAGTTCTGAACGGATGGTGCGCGAATCCTTCCGTCGGGCTGCCCGTTCAAGGAGAAACATAGTTGAGAACGGCGCCCAGGGTTTGGGTTGAAGGGTTTGACGCCATGAGACTGGGGGGTGGCCCCCCCCGTCTCAGCACTTCATGCAGTGGTCTCCACCCCTTCCCCCGTATCGCCTTAACCATGAAGCTGACATTCTGCGCCTTCGCCGCCATCACCGTCGTGGCTCAAGGTAGCTAGTAGAGCAAAGACCAAAGGCAACCGACAGAGAGCCTCGACCGTTACGTGCTGCGTCTCGTTCATTTCTGCAGGCCGCCAGCTCTCCAGCAGGAACAGCACCGCCACAATGAAGGAGAATTGGCAGAAATTCATCAAGAGAAGCCTCCTCGAGGTATTCTGTACCAGAAGAAAATGAAAACTCCTCTCAGCTCAAGGAATGATTGTCTCTGCGGGTGCTCTGGCAGAGCATCAAGAACGGGGAGCTCTGCATCTACACCTACCATTGGGATCCGGCTGAATACGGGACATACACGGACAGTGTCGACTGGACACTCCAGTGCCCAGCCGCGTCTCGCATCCATTGGAAGCGCAATCGAACTCCCTACACACTCGACGACTTCACCTGCCTGGTTCCCAAGACGATGGACTCGTGGGTTGGTGGACGGTTGGTGGACCAGTCCTGCAAGGCGCCGCCCCACTGCCGACTCGAGTCCTTTTTTGTCATCAGAAGACAAACAGGACTTCTACCGCGTCAAGGTGAAAATACGTTAACTCATAGCGCAACGGCAGGCAGAGTCTGTCGGTCTCTCATAGGTCCTCGGGGGGGGGCTTTGCAGCCCGGCACGAGGACAAGAAAGGCGATTTCCTCTACTCCCATCTCGTCCTGAAGTTCGAGCCGCAACTCAACCCGGTTTCTGGCGAAACGGCGAAACCAAGGGACACGTTCGAGGCGGTCACAGTTTGGGGCAGGGAGTTGATCAAGAGCCCCAGCGCATTTTGCACACTGCAAGGGAAAGACAGTCATCCTTCGCCTGACAATGTGTGATGCAAACAATCGATGCACACGGATGGATAAGGCGCGTCTTGCCATGTGAATGCTACCGTACTGAAGCTACAACACACAAACAGGTCAAGGCTACCATCGTATTACAGTACAAAGCTACTAACTGCATCGAGTCGAATCAGCCGGGCCGTCTGCTACTCTTCCCACCTCCATTGCCACGTCTAGGCGGCGGCTGGGCACATATGGGTAGCGGCACAGAACGGGCAGAACTTGCAGACGGGCGAGGGCACCCACTAAGAGCTTCTCTCTCCGCCTGAGGCCGCAGGACCGTCTGTTTCTCCTGTCCGTCACCATCGATCTGCCGCTGGGCCGATCGTGTCTCGTGCGTTGTAGTCTTCTGATTCGTCCCGAAGCTCCTGACGAAATCAAAGGGGTAGAAGGGAAGCGCGCGTGTCTCGCCTGCCGGTGTGGGAGGCGCGGTGGCAGCCTTTTGGCGCTGCTGTGGGTGCTGCTGCAGTGGTTTCGATTTCAGCAGATCCCCAACAAAGCCGAGACGACAGGTGCGCTGGGCACCACGAGGGGTCAGTAGCTGGAAACGGGAGCAGCAAATGGCAAATTAAGGGCAATGACACCGAATGGCGCAATGTGTGAATACCGTGTAGGGGAGACATGGCCTCGTTTTCTCCTCCTTCACATGTGAGGCTGTCCTCTCTGTCAGTGGCAGCGTCAGTGATGCTGCTGTTGGAGGTGGTGGCGGGCGATCTCTGCCGATCCTCGGTGAGTCGAGAGGCCCATCCATCGGTCTGATGGTTTCTTCTGTGCGGCGCGGCTCATCCACCTGATGAGACAAGATGGACACAGCGAGTCGTTGCATGACCTGTGGGTATCGGCTTTCCTCTGAGGTCGCCATTTGTGCCTCGCCACCGGGTGGGCATTCATCCGGCTCACGTCCGGGCACAGCAGACGAGGGTCCCTCTGCAGCAAGCATCCTTGGGCTGGTCTGCCTGTGCGAGAGACAGTACATGTCATGATGGCGTGAGATCTGTTGACTCGATGGCTTGTGCATATACCTGCTTGGGGAGCGGTCCGTCATGGGTGGATGATGCCTGTACAGCTGCTCGAAGGCACCCATGCGCTGGCGGGGATGCAACAGGAGAGACGCATACAACCGCGACACATACTCTGATGTAGTGAACCCAGAACATGCGCCCACACCATGAGTGGGGGCGGGCGCACATGACACTGATGATGCAGGGCGCACTGCTCTCTCAAGGCAATCACACGCGTCTGGCGGAGAGACATCACGTATTCCAGGAGACACACCGTCCTTCCCTCCATCCTTCTCACCTCAGCAGTTTGAAGTTGCATCGCAAGTCTGTCGATTTCGCCCTGCAGCTCCTCCACATGGCTTGTCGACTGAAGGAGGGTGCGAGAGGTCTCCTGCAAGTAACAGCGAGACAAAGTGGGGACGTCAGGGGCACAAGGGATGCGATGCACCCACCCTGAGCTGCATGAGGAGGCTGTCTTTCTCTTCCTTGAGGCTGTTCCTGCTGGCAATCATGAGCTTCAGTGCCTCCACAGTTCCCTCCTGAAACGACATAGATTGACCATTCAAGGCAAATTCCCGATGCGTGTCTTTATCCCGTCTCACGAGGTGTCTGACAAGCGTCATGTGCTTCATGTGAAAGCTCGTGCTCCGACACTGCATCGATCGCACGAAACAATCATGATCGAACACCGTTGTACGTACATGTTTCTCGGCCCTGTCTCACCTATGTCAGTAAGCACAGTACCTGCTCGATGAGTCTGAGATTGTCCTTGAGCACCAGCTACGGATCTATCACCTGCTTCACTGAGGGTACCGCATCGGCTGGGGCGGCTCGCGTGGCGGCTTCTGCCTCTCGGCATTCAGCCTGTGTTCCCACCGACTGAGAGCAAGACGGGATTGTGATTGACGGCCGCTCCACATCAGCCACCGGGCGAAAGAAAGACGGGCTCGATGGCCGCTCCACCCCTTCGCTGATGCCGCATCCATCCGTCTCCAGCTGACGTTTGCACTGCTTGTGCTGAGCGGTCTTCTTTGCTTCCGAGCAGGCAAGCAGCCGCACGTATTGGCCACTCTGCTTTTGCAGGCTACTCTTGGTGGCGAGGGTGTGGGGTGCACGTGGTGGCTTCGCGCAGTGCAGGGGCGACCTTTGCAGAGCCCCTTTTGCCTGCCTGCTGAGGCTGTGTGCCAAGTGAGCGCCGCTGGGTTGCGGGGCTCTCGGAGGTGTCGCACTGTTCGAAGCACGGGGGCCCTGAGGGTGCATTTGTTGGAAGGAGAGGTTGGTGTGTAGGTCAAGCAATTGGGGTCATGACCAACTTGAAGGGTTCGGTCTTTAGGGTTTTCCGCCAGTAGGGATGTGTTTTGTGCACCCTTAGCTCCCCTTTGTGATCCGCTGGCTGCCGTCGTGACCGGTCAGAACTGTTCTGTCAGCGTTTCGACGGACTCTGTGCTCGCACACTCCATACCCTTACACTTTCGCTCGTGAGTGGTCGTGTCGCACACTTGCCTCTTGCTGCGTGAGACAAGTCTGTCGACGGCCACCCACACCGCCATCATCATGACCGAGACGCTGTCGTCGCTCAAGCTCAATGTCGGGGGCGTGGTAACGCAGCTGACTAACCCCACGCTGCTGGCGCTGCCATTTTTCAAGCAGGCGGCTGCTGAGGGTGTGAGGGATGATGACGGGAACATTGTGGTGGACCGCGAGGCATCGCTCTTCAAGCAGGCACGCCAGACTCACAGGGAGGAAGGGCTGCTTTAGCATTCGTAGACATGAGTGGGTGTGCGCGTGTGTGGCTGTGGATCTGTCTTCATTCAGGTGTTGCGGTACGTGCGTGTGGGTGAGTTGCCCAAAGACTATGAGGGTGCGCTGCGGGCCGAGTTCGAGTACTACGGCCTCCCATGGCCGTCCACCTGCCGCAACTGCCAGTGTCTCTTCGGTACGGCCCAGCGATCCATAGCACAGACACACACCACTGAGGAGAAGATGCACACCAGACTGGTGTGTGATGTGATGTTTGTGTGTGGTGCTTGTAGACGAGACACGCAACGGCCCTCTGTCGTGCCTCTACCACCCCGTGAGCAACTTCGTGGTCATCAACGAGACATCCACCCCCCTCTCGCCACTCTCAGACACCAACGGCCTCCCGTCCCATGGCACATACTACTACGAGTGCTGCAAGCAGAAGATCGGCTCGGCGGGCTGCTTCCGGTCGGCACACGTCGCCATGGACTCCACCAACACCGAGCAGGAGGCCGCCAAGGCCACCGTGCCTTCGGCGGAGAGCAGGTCACCCACCGAGGGGCAGCAAGCGGGCGCCGACATTTTGGCTCGTCTGGTCGGCGCGCGGCCCGCGTCTCCCGGTCTGTCGTCGCTCTCGTCGTCCGGTGGGTGCGGGAGCTGCAGCAGGGACGGCGGGTGTGGCGTGACTGACCCTTACGAAGGGTTCGGTGGCATGAACGTCAAGAACAAGGGACTGATGACCACCACTCAGGCCAAGATCCACCTACCGCCCTGCTACGCCGCTGGCATGGTGCCCGGCGTCAAACTCGAAATCGAGGTCAGTCTGCCAACCAACGCGCACACACACGCAGCTGGCTGTTCCTCATGTGTGACTGTGTCTTGATGGTGTGATGTGGTGGTTTATGATGTCATGTCATGTGCAGGACGGTGTGCCGATGGCTGTGATGAACATCGGTCCAGGTTTTGGGTACGACCAGCCGCCCGAGGGGTCTGTGTCGTCCGATGAGGATGACGACTACCGCCAGAAAGAGCTCGCGCAGCAGGACATCGAGGCCGTGGCAGAGGCCGACAAGCCGACCCATGTGCAGGAGGAGGTCGAGACGACCGTCGAGGACACAGCCGAGCAGGGTGGGAAGAGCATGCCATGACACTCACGCAGCAGAGAGAGAAGATCAGTGGCCTCTTGGCATGTTATGTTGACGTCATTCATTTGTATGACTGTCTTGTGCGTCTGTGTTACTGACTGGGTGCAGAGCCGGCCAGCAACGAGAATGTGCGCGTGGGCGACTCGTTCTACAAGACGAAGCTCTGCAAGTTTCACGTCCAGGCAAGGGAGCACCAACGAAACACGACACGGACATCACATCACGCCCACCATTCAGCCTTTTCTTGCCTGTGTTATGTGATGTGTGCTGCAGCAAGGTCAGTGCCGCAAGGGCAGCCGCTGCCACTTCGCACACTCCGAGTCGGAGCTCCGCAGCCCCCCCGACCTCACCAAGACACGCATGTGCAGCCTCTTCAGGATGGGACTCTGCAAGTGAGCGGGCAGGGACAGACAGGACAAAGAAAGGGATGGACGGACGACAAGGACCAGGGCAGGGTACACATCACATCACATCGCGCGTCTCACGGTCCCTCCGTGTGTGGCCCAATGTGATGTGCAGGAAGGAGGACTGCGTGTTCGCCCATGGGTTGGAGGAACTGCGGGCGACTGGTGACTTCTACAAGACGGAGCTCTGCGCCTTCTGGATGGCCGGATTTTGCAAGTATGTCGCACACCGCCTAGACACACAGAGGGGATCTGCACGTTTGTCCATCGTTCGTTTGTGCAGGGCTGGTGACACCTGCCGTCACGCCCACGGCACCGATCAGCTGGTACGCACACGCAATGAGGCCGCCTGCTCTCTAAGTCTGACCTTCATTGCGTGTCTTGTTGTGTCGAATTGCAGCGTGCCAAGGTCACGCAGAAGCGTCGCAAGCCGAGGCTGCCGTCGGTCTCCATCGCACCCACCCCCACCCCGCCAGGCGAGAAGCCCCCCATGCC